TACAACATATGGGATCCCTCCTCAGCGGCACAACAGACTCACACATCCCCGTCAAACCCCTTCACGCATCCTTCCAAGAGTTCCTCACCCATGAACCATCCAGCGGAGACTTTTTTGTCGAGGTGACGAAGACGCAACACCACGACTTAGCGTTGGCATCACTTCGAGTGATGGAACATGGCCTTCGTTTCAATATATGTGATTTAAAGTCGTCATACCTCCCTAATCGCGAGGATAACGGACTGGCTCAACGAGTCAAAACATCCATTTCCCCACATCTATCCTATTCCTGTCGATTCTGGGCTACTCACGTTCAAGCAACGGACTTCGACGATGAGCTCGCAAAAACGATGAGATCATTTTTCGACGACGAGCGACTGCTCTTCTGGATCGAAGCACTCGGACTTCTCAATGCAATCAGGGGTGCAATTATTGTGCTTCCACTCGTTGCCAAGTGGCTGAAGGTGAGCACATGCCTGCGAGTCAGTGTCGGATGAGCAGCTCATACATAAAGACAGGGCCATCCTGGATACGAAGATTTGTGGACGACCACGATGGATGTACAAAGATTCATGCAAGTGTTTGGCAGCATGATTTTGCACAGCACGCCACATCTGTATTTATCAGGGCTCCCATTCTCGCCGGTCAACTCCGCCATGGCTACCAAATTCACGTCAAGGTTTCCGAATAACCTTCGTCTGGCATGCGGCCGTGATTTGAACTGGACGGTTGTTCAGATCGTAATCAATGGGCACACTGATGTGGTTCTATCAGTTGCATTCTCACCGGATGGTACTCGCATCGCGTCTGGTTCTTCGGATAAGACTGTGCGGCTGTGGGATGCAATCACGGGACAGCCATTGGGTGAGCCCTTGGAGGGGCACACTAGTGAGGTCTTGTCAGTCTCGTTCTCACCGGATGGTACTCGCATCGCATCTGGTTCACAGGATAAGACTGTGCGGGTGTGGGATGCAATCACGGGACAGCAATTGGGTGAGCCCTTGGAGGGGCACACTAGTTGGGTTTGCTCAGTCTCATTCTCACCAGATGGTACTCGCATTGCGTCTGGTTCGGCGGACAACACTGTGCGACTGTGGGATGCAATGAAGGGACGGTCATTGGGTGAGCCCTTGGAGGGGCACACTAGTTTGGTTGAGTCAGTCTCGTTCTCACCAGATGGTACTCGCATCGCGTCTGGTTCAAGGGATAACACTGTGCGGCTGTGGGATGCAATGAAGGGACGGCCATTGGGTGAGCCCTTGGAGGGGCACACTAGTTCGGTTTGGTCAGTCTCGTTCTCACCGGATGGTGCCCGCATCACATCTGGTTCGCAGGATAACACTGTGCGGTTGTGGGATGCAATGGCAGGACAGCCATTGGGTGAGCCCTTGGAGGGGCACACTAGTTCGGTTTACTCAGTCTCGTTCTCACCGGATGGTACTCGCATCGCGTCTGGTTCGGAGGATAACACTGTGCGGGTGTGGGATGCAATCACGGGACAGCAATTGGGTGAGCCCTTGGAGGGGCACACTAGTGAGGTCTTGTCAGTCTCGTTCTCACCGGATAGTACTCGCATCGCGTCTGGTTCTTTGGATAAGACTGTGCGGGTGTGGGATGCAATCACGGGACAGCCATTGGGTGAGTCCTTGGAGGGGCACACTAGTGAGGTTTTGTCAGTCTCGTTCTCACCGGATGGCACTCGCATCGCGTCTGGTTCTTTGGATAAGACTGTGCGGGTGTGGGATGCAATCACGGGACGGCCATTGGGTGAGCCCTTGGAGGGGCACACTAGAGAGGTTTACTCAGTCTCGTTCTCACCGGATGGTACTCGCATCGCGTCTGGTTCGGAGGATAACACTGTGCGGGTGTGGGATGCAATCACGGGACAGCAATTGGGTGAGCCCTTGGAGGGGCACACTAGTGAGGTCTTGTCAGTCTCGTTCTCACCGGATGGTACTCGCATCGCGTCTGGTTCTTCGGATAAGACTGTGCGGCTGTGGGATGCAATCGCGGGACAGCCATTGGGTGAGCCCTTGGAGGGGCACACTGGTGAGGTCTTGTCAGTCTCGTTCTCACCGGATGGTACTCGCATCGCATCTGGTTCACAGGATAAGACTGTGCGGGTGTGGGATGCAATCACGGGACAGCAATTGGGTGAGCCCTTGGAGGGGCACACTAGTGAGGTCTTGTCAGTCTCGTTCTCACCGGATGGTACTCGCATCGCGTCTGGTTCTTTGGATAAGACTGTGCGGGTGTGGGATGCAATCATGGGACGGCCATTCGGTGAGCCCTTGGAGGGGCACACTAGGGAGGTTTGGTCAGTCTCATTCTCACCGGATGGCACTCGTATCGCGTCTGGTTCGGCAGATAACACTGTGCAGCTGTGGGATGCAGTGAAGGTGCAGCTATCCCCCATGTCCAGCGAGCCAGATTCTTCCTCATTTTCACTGCATCAAAGCACTACACCTCCCACCCAACAAAGCCGTATCATGCCCACCAGCACTTGTAACGATCACGTCATTTCTTTCTCGTCCAGCCAAGGACACGCCCTGCCCAACCCCGCTGACCTGCTCGAACCTACTTCTTATCATAATTCCAATTCAACCCCTTTCTTGCTGCAGGCTGATGGATGGATTATGGGATCTCATCATCGGCTTCTTTTCTGGGTACCTCCCGCTTCCCGACATCCATTTTATACTCCTTGGACTTCATTGGTGATACCCAGAGGACATCCCGAGCTTGATTTGAGCCGCATGGCACATGGGACACACTGGTCGAGTTGCCGAGATGCGTGAGTTCTTAGTCCTTGTCGTATGTCCTTGCAGTTGCTAATATCAGGACTTCTAGCTCCACGTAACAATCATTTTATTGCTGCAACATCAAGTGCACCGTTTTATTCTTTGATTCCTTGTCAATTTCTATACCCAGCACCGAACCTGAATTTACGGTTGTCTGACTGACTGATGTACTGTACTTAGAGGTGCACTAGTTAACATGTACTACTTACTCTAGTCTCTAGACTTCTAGGTACGTTCACGGTAGCGTTTTCGAGCCATTTTCGTCGTCTTCTGTTTTGTACTTGCCAGTATTTCCACATGTGCACTGAGAATTAAGTGGCGAACTCTGTGTCTCCTGATGCGGTAGCGGTGCTCGCTTGGGTAAGCCCGTGCTGGACCGTCAATTTGACCGTGATCAGCTCTACTTCGTAAGCAGATTGCTTGAGCCCAATTCTTGCACGTCAAAGTCATGGCTGCCATTCCCTGATGAGTCGAACAAATCCGGCTACGCCATTGCTTGCCTTCGGCGCAGCATAGTTTCATCGACAACGTCATTTTCGACCAAAGACACTCACAATCTGGCTTTGAAACAGACAGCGATTTCAAGTTGTTTTTAATGAGTCGCCCAGAGCACGGTGTGCCGAAGAAAGAGCATCCAACTATCGTGCGTGGAACAACAAGGCTACCTTCTACTCGACCGCCCCATCCAGAGCATCCTGTATGGTCTCTACAGTGAGTCGACATCGATATAGGTCTTGGTCGACGCACTCAGTCTCATAACACAGGCATTTGAGAGGCTCCCAGGCCTAGTAAATGCGAGGAAGGTTGAAAACGTTTCTGCACCAAGCGAACGCTCCCGCAAGCAGAAATTGACCACCGGCTTCATATGGTGCGCAAAGCTGTGCGGAAGGAATAGGTTGTATTACTCGCTGCACCGAGAAACATTTGGTTGTGGGGAACGACGACGCTCCCCCTCCACTTAAGCCTTTGCCTGTCTCTACGCTCTCGAAGTCAGAATTACTAGGATAGCCTCAGGTCACAGCAGTTGACATAGGTGTTGGGGAAGATTGGAGTTATTTGAACGAGTGAAGGCAACGCGCGAGGAGGGACAAGGTCGAGCGTGATTTGAAGTGGATGTGGATGCTGGAAGCTGTGAAGAGGGAAGCTGCACAAAAAGCATTGCAGCTCAGCGCTACAGCATCATATGATAGTCTGACATGTTGCAGAGCAACTCAGTATTATCTTCGCACTTTGCGTCGACGATATTATGTTCTATCTGATTTATTTCGGATCAATGCAAGGGGTTTTTCAATACGACCTGAGTCTCTGAACAGATGAAGTGGTGCATTCGTTGCCTCATACTATTCACTAACTCAATAAGCTGTCCGCTTCAAACGTGCACATTCAGGATTTTAGCGCCTCCACGGTTGCACAGAACGCCAGCTGTTAATATAAAGTTCGAACCACTTGAAAGATCACTATGTATAATCACATGGCCTATGGCCTGATACCAATATCCTTCTACTTGGTCTAGCTGAGAAGATCGATACTAAGCAGGCGCACTGTGAGTTATACGAGTCCCCCACCACCCATCCTAACAGTATCCAAAACTGCCCTCACCAACTCATTCCATAACCGTCTCGCAATCGAATCGCCACGGGCTTCCAATAACTTTCTCCGTACCAAGTCCGCAGGTGTCTCAAGCGCCTGCCGCCTCCGAAGGATCAAAGATATAAGGGGAATTAGGAAGAGCAAGACTGATAGGGTGGCTATTCTGTTTGCAGTGAAATAGCGGTGTTGAAATAAGATCGTATGAGTGTTAGGGAGGTTGGGGGTGCAGTCGCGAGACTATGGTCGACTGGCAGAACGCGGGAGATGCGAACGCCACTAGCACTTGAGCTTCCTCGGGCATGCTTTGGTTGTGGCGGTGGCGAGGGGATCTGGTTACGGTGGAGTCTGAGACTGCTGATGTGGAGGACGCGGATTGTTGGCGGGTAAGTTTTGGAAGAGGGGATGCTGGCATGGCGGTGCGGGTAGATGTAGTGGATAGAGAAGAGGAAGAAGAGGCTGGGGATAGAGAGCGGAGTGGAGGTATTGGTGTAGGAGACGGAGGAGTCTCGGGTTTTGACGTCTCCCGCCTTGTACTCTCTAACGCGTGAGCATGCTGAGCCTCGAGGGCCAGATGAAGTTCCTGACAATATTGTGTTCAGTGCGATACAAGGATCATGAAATTAAACTCACGCGTTTTTCGTCAGACGAGAGTTCATTCTCGTAGGACAGAAATTCTTTGACGTACTCCCACTCGCCCAAACGAGGTAAGACATGCAAGCAATAAAGTTCTAGGACTCTATGATATGGTTCACCCGTAGAAGGTACGAAGTCATATTGACCGCGTTTTGATAGCCAGTCCTCTGTCATCTCACGACCAACGCTTAGGCAATCTATCTTGATACTGGATGCGACGAGTGTGATGAGGACTTGGTGCGGAAGGAATGCGGAGCTAGGTTTTCGATACAGAGATGAAGGAGTAAATAAAGTGAGAGATCGAGCGTACAAAGTGGAAATAAACGATTG